AAGGGTTAACATTCGTTTGAAAGATAAATTAAAATTAATCCTCCGTAACGAGTGAACGCGATTCACTCGTTCCCGATATCCGATTATCAAAGACGCCTACGGGATAATTCGAATTCGTTGCAAGAATCCTCTCCCCCTCCCCCTTGCCCGTTCAATCGTATTATAAATTAAAGCCTCGTCTAGACGCGGGGATCGCCTGGGGGATAATTGGAAACAGAGAATCTCTGGAGAATGTTAAGACGATTCCTCGTCCGACCCGCGTCTCTTACCAAATTATCCGCGAGTACGTATACACACCTGCCAACTTGACGTGCTTCGCGGTTTCTCGATCAGGATCTCGTGCATTTGAGGTTGATTTAACCACGTTTCGACCAATCCCTACAATCTGCCTTCTCCTATGTCTAATATATGAAAAATGCGCGACAGTAATGAGAATAATTTTTTTTTACAAAACGAAATAAAATAACGAGGAGATTTTATTTTAAAATCGGCGGCCTGTTTGAACCACCTGGATGCAATACAGATGGTGGTTAATCGAAAGTTTTATCTTTCGGGTAATATCGAGACGCCTCTTTCTCGAATTCGCACAACAGGATGTTTTTCGTTGTTTGGTAAAACGTTCAAATTTGTACAACGTCACCAATTACGCTCGCAATTTTGATCGTTTGCTAAAAACCTTCCAGTATAAACCAGGGAAAGGTTTTCAAAGAGGAGAAGAGGAAAATTACATACTGTGGCGATTCCATCGTGTTTTGACAGCACTGTGACGAGCACAGCGCGGTATCAATTTGTCCGGTAATCCGACGCTTTGGCCCGGCCCACGGTGGTTAATCCAAGGCAATATACACGGTTGCATATTGAACGCGTCCACGAGTGGTGGAGGCACACGCGTGGATTAGACGCAAGATCAGTCTGAGGGAGGGAGGGATTTATTTGGAAGAAAAGAAAAATCAAAACGTGTCTCGACGTCTATTTCGGTTCGTCCTTCCTTCCTTCCTTTCTTCCTTCTTCCTTCCTTCCTTTCTTCCTTCCTTCCTTCCTTCTTTCCTTCCTTCCTTCCTTCTTTCCTTTCTTCCTTTCTTCTTTCCTTCCTTCCTCTTTCCTTCCTTTCTTCCTTCCTTTTTTTCTTTCTCCCTTTCTTTCTCCCTTTTTTCTTCCTTCCTTTCTTTCGCCCTTTTTTTCTTCCTTTCTTCCTTCCTTGGCGCGTTTCGTCACGCGACGTGGCTCGATCGTTCGACATCCATCTCTTTTTTTTTCTTTCCTTTTTCGTTCCTTTTTATTTGCAATATTGTAACCCCATTCAGAGAACCGATTTCCTTCCTTTCTTCGTGTTTCATCGGGCAGAACTCTTTTATCGCTCGGCGATAACTATTTCCCTTGTCGTGAAACGAAAGAACGTCGTGGAACGGCCACAAATGCACAATCAAATTACACGCTCATGCCGGTTTAATGTACCGTTCCCACACGCCAGTCCCAGTTCGCAAGATTACGTTAATTAGCCTATGCAAAGCCAAATTGCTTCCGTGTCTCGCTCGCGGAAGAATTATTCACGGAAGGGAAAAAAAAGGAAAAGAGGAAGAAGAAGAAGAAGAAGAAGAAGAAGAGAAAAAGGAAAAAGAAATGGACGAAATGGACGATGACGAATTTCCACGAACGAAAGGAAGAATTAATCACCGATTTTCTCTCGTTGTCGGATCGTTGGATTCGAAGAAGAAGAAGATGATGACGACGATGACGACGACGACGTTACGTGGACGTGAATCATAAAACGTCGTCGTTGATATGTCGTTCGTGCTCTTTGTTATTTATAAAACGGCGCATGACGGTCCTTGGAATTAATGGCAAACGAGTGGACAATGGAGATTAGCATGGCTGAGGTCGTTTCGAGAGATCGGTGTGTCCAAGTCCGCCTAAAGTCAACCGGTCCTCTGTTCTCTCTTCTCCTCTGTTCATCAATCTTCTTCGTTTACGGTCTCGAGGAGGCTAATTTTATGTCCCCTTCCGTTTTGTCCCTCCGATGAATCGAGAAGAGACTTTTTTTTTTTTTTTTTTTTCTTTTTTTTAAAGAATTCAAATTAATTCTCCGTAAATATTCGGAGGAATGACAAGAATGAAATTAGATTGACAGGTGTACTGTGCTATGTAAATTGAACTCGTTCATATTTATGAAAGGAGGGAAATTGATTCGGAATAACTCTTTGATCGGGGGAATACGGTATATAGGCATGGTAATATATGCGAGGAGGGAAGGTTTGAGGCAATTAATTCACCCACCTTCAAACACCTCTAAAGTTGGTTAATTAAGGTGTCGCGAGATCCACGCCCTTCTCGCCTCTCTCTCTCTCTTTCTCTTTCTCTCTCGAGTCGATTCACCTCGAAGAAGATTCTCGAGATTCGCTTCCTTCGGATCAAGAAGGAACCCTTCCTTCTCCTTCGCCAGAGCCTCTCTCGTCAATCCTTTCCGTCGCTTCTCGTCAATATAATGCTTGCGAATGTAATTACCCAACGACACAATGCGATATTACGTTTCCAATTGTGTGGAAACATCGCATCAAGGAGGGGGGGGAGAAAATAATGGAGGATAATTTTTATAAATAATTCCTGTTAACCGAGATCGGATTCGAAAAAAAGTGGGTCGAATTACCGACCGTTTCCAACGTAATCTTTCCTCGCTTCAAAGACCCAGATACATTGTTATGAATAAATGAATCCACGTATTGTGTGCCGTTGGGAAAGTTTCGAGGCGAAACGGGCGAGAGGAAGAGAGAGAGAGAAGGAAAAGGAAGAAGAAAAAGAAAAACACGTTGCGTAATTGTGGCGCAACGAATTGTGCATTGAAAAAAACGAGGGGGATGGGGGAAGACGCGCGGGATGATTAAAGCTGCAATTAGCCCGCTGATTAATTTTAATAGATCGGCTCACGGCCGACCGTGATGGCTGATAAAGTTTTCAGGAAAAACAACTTTTACGAGCGTCCCTGAACCTCGTTATTGCGCCGCGGATTCCTGGAAAATTTACGTGGCGAATGCCACCGAATTCGTTGTTGTTACGTATGGGATTCCGGGAATATTTTCCGCGCTCATTGCTCGTCCCCCCTCCCCAACTCCCTTTCCAACTGTTTTATCGCGATTCAATTCAATGTCAAACGGAAACGTATATGGGAAAATATATTTGAGGACGAGTGAGAAACGATGCGGCGAACGAAAATGTGGAAAATGTATTTTATCGGGTGTGAAATGATTTTGGACTTTGTATCCGTAAATTTGTGATTTCTTTTTCACGTATTTTGTGACAGAGTTTGCCGATTGGCGATTATTTAATTCCTATTCCGTGGAGAATATGGAGAACAAAAGAGCGGGGAATTGAGATTTATGAAATAATTTTTCGTTGTATCAGAAATGATTCTTTCTTCTAAAGAAGTTTTAAGTTTTATTCGCAAATTCTGAAAACACGAAAGCAAATAAATTGAGATTTCGAAAATATGGAATAAATATTTTATAGGGGTAAGAAATAATTTTGAATTTGTATCGAAAAGAAATTGTAATTTCCTGTTAAAGGATAGTTTTATCGATTAAAATTATCGATTAAGGTAGTATTATGATGGAAGAAGATGGAAAAATTGAAAGATTGTAAAAGTAAAAATAAAAATTTTGAAATCTCAAAAATGTAAAATGTATTTTATCGTACGTACATAGAATAATTCGACGTATCGAAAAATGAAAAGAATCGTTGGTAGATTTTTTTCTTTTTTTTTTTCCCTAGAGAATAACTTCTATGAAATTTTGTCCAGATTTTCATGGTAATACCTCCTCGGAATACGGAGAAAAAGACCGATTGAGATTTTCCACTTTCGAGTTGGGAAAGTTGAGGCTGTCAGATGTTTTCGACGTAAATCGTGTTCATTCGGAGCAACTGATTTCAATATCGCGGGCAACTTCATCGGAGCTTGTGACGAGAGGGAATTTTCGTGACCTGATTCTTCGACGTGGCCAAGAAATTAATGAAAATTATTTGATTGCCTCGATTAAAAATAGCAACGGAACGAACACATCGAAACGAATTCTTGAAAATTTATTCCAATCGTTCATCGATTTAACAAGCCTTTATTTTCATTCTCTTCGCGCAAAGAAAATCACAACGAATATTGATCTCTACGATGTTGGAAAAGTTACGGATCGATCTCCTCAATCCGGAAAAAAGCATCGAAAGCATTCGATCTTCTTCATAAATCGAATCACTCATCTCGAGATAATTCGCCAAGATTGAACGCGATCGCAAGTGTTCAAGTCGAGCGACGACTCGCCCATTCTGTGATTTCCCTTCTCTCGAAAGGTTAAAAGGGGAGGAAAAAAGCGGCGAGGTATTTTCCGCTGATCAACCATTTCACCGTGAGACAACCTCCTCTCCTTTATCCCCCTTCCTCTACCCTTCAATATCGCGGAACGAAAGGAAATCTCGAAAGCGTTAAAAGCAGCGGAAACAATACCTATATAAACGCTACAGCCTATGCAAATAAGAATCGAGTAACGGCCGCTGTAAAAGTCCATTCCCCGTGGATAAAGGATCCGACAGTTCTCACTCGTCGAACTGAAAGTATGGAAGAAAGGGAAAGAAAAAAGTTGCGAAAGGGGGTGAAATATCTACCAGTTTCGGTGGAAATCTCTATGAAACGTTATGGTAGACACGTGTCACGCATACGCGAGATGAAAGCTGAAGACGAAGCACCCCTTTAACGTTCACGTACCCCTCCATGGGAAACACCGTTCACGGGATGGCCTCCATAAGAGGTCAGACTCGTCGACAGAGGGCTTCCAACGGTGTTTTCAAAAGATCTTCTAGAAATCTAGAATCTTCTTTTAGAATTTATGTCTCTTCTAGTAAAGAAAAATTCTACTCTATCTTTTATCTTTACGCTTTTCTCTATGGTCGATCGAAGTTTTTCCTTGTTTTCTTTTCGAGAGATTATCATTCACAAGAGTGTCTTGTTCGTTTTGTTTCAGGAAGAACAGTTCGACGTTGGAGAGATTCCACCTGCAAATCTCGAGGATAGAACTGTATCCGGAGAGGTCGAAGTACGTGGACCAATTGTTGCACGAAATCGCGACGAGGCCTATAGTTCACGTCGGTGAGTGAGCCTTGCTTCACCGATAATCTTTTCTCGTTCTCGAGGTAAATGAATGTCGAGAATCAGTAGTAGAAACGGACGGTCGTTGATCAACCTTGGAAGAAAGGAGGGAGGGGGAAGCGTACGATATTAATCGAGATTCTTTGAACATACCGGCATCCTCGAACTTCTTCCATCAGCGGACAATGCTACACGATCGAGTAAACGTTGTAATATAAATTTTCGAGCGACAGTGCACGCAAATCGTGCCTGGAATTTTTCCTTTAAGGGAAATAATAAATGGTGAACCGGCAGCGTCCCGTACGTGGACGTTTATTAAATTTTACCTCGGTCAAAATAAATTCGATGGCAACGAAATTTATCAGGGAGGGATTCTGTTTAATTGTAGTTGCCTTCCCAATTCTAACTCGACTCGAAAACCTGATTTTATTGTAAAGTATTTTGACAAGAACAGTGGATAAATATATCCACCGATTCTATGCGTCTTTTTCTTTAAAAATCGTCGTATTGAAACGTTATGTCTCGTCGGAAACGTGAATTCTATTATTCGAAAGATTATAAATAGAAAGAGAATATGTGTTGGAGAAATTTAAAAAAATCCGAACGAAGTTTCAGAGGAACTTTATTCAAGATCACTCGGTGTTCGTTTAAAAAGAAAGAAGAAGGAATAATATTTAAAATCACAATAAGGCTGTTCGATCAAAGGCTGATTGTCTCTTGTCCGCGATATCAATTATCGCAGCATACTCGATGAACAAAGCGTGTTGTGCGCACGGCCGATGCTCGCGAGGGAAGGGATTAACGAAGCCGTCGCAACGAATGAAACGTGAAAGAGCAGATAGATAGATGGATAGATAGAAAGAGAGAGAGAGAGAAGAGATTAGACGAGCCGATATAAAATTAATCTGAAAACGGCGGCGCAATAATCTTCTCTGTTGGAAATTAATTCCTCTGCTGGCCCATAAAGCCAGACAATTAACCGGTGTTATTGTGACCGTGGCTTTGTGCTTAGTAATTGCTACTACGTGGTTCATTGACTAACAATGCCATCGCCCGATCCGTTCGGGGGAGGCAAGCGGGAGGATGAAAAGATCGGGATCGCTCTTCCCGCCGACTTTCCGAGCGTAACGCTTTAAAATTAGACTTGGCACCAGAGTTTTACGCTCAATTTCCGCCCTCCCGTATCCACTCTCCTCTCCTCCCCTCCCCATTATTTATATTCGCGACACGCGCCATTTTCCCTCTTCCTCCCGGTATCTCTCTCTATCCACATCTCTCCCTTGTCGTACCCGACAATTCCTTCTCGATTTCTTCGAATCGTGCCTCCTCCTTTCCTCGTTCGTTTGCAACAAATTCTTTCGAATTTCTTGTTTCCTTGATCGTTGATCGAGAGCGGGATAAAAGCGGAGATTCAAAGGAGAACTCGATACGCTTGTTAGGTAACGGCCGATTGCCGAGAAACTGGCGGGATCGATGGATGTAATTTTGATAGGGTTCGATAGGTTGTCGAATCGAGGGAGCCGATGGGAGGAAGGGAAGTTGAATGAAGTGGCGAGCAGTGTCGACGGGGATGTAATTATTAAGCGGTATCGAGCCGCTCGGGGAAATTAGATCCGGAGATCTATGGAGGACGGGCACAAAGACAAAGGATTCCAAAGACGATGATTAAATTATGGGGAAATCGCGGATATCCTCGATGAAAAATATATATATATATAATTTCATGATATTTCGAGATACGTTTTACGGATTTTCATTGGCCAGTTTCATCGCATACGAGAGAAATTAAAGGGAATTGTAACGTTGATTCGAACGATCGATCGATTGACAATCGATAAACGCACGCACGTAGAGTTTTACTTTACACGCTCTGCCAAATCTTTTCCAAATTTCTTTCTCTCTCTCTTTCTCTCTCTCGAAAAAGACGACCTTTGAACTTTAGAACCGAGTTCAAGGTAGGAGGGTATACACCGTCCAGTCGAGTTCGAAAATCGATGTGTATCCGGAGGTGTGTAAAGCCATTCGGTTCACGAGAAGTTAACCTTCGAAATATTCCACGAACTATTTTAATCGCGTAACGAGTTTAATAAACTATGCAACAAAGGTCTTTTTCATTCCGTCCCGTTGCACAATCGTTCAATTTTAATTGCACACGAGCGTCAATACTGTTCGATTACTCGACTGCAGATGTCACGTTTCATCGCGCGATAATTGCAAAATGTAAAAATGAATTAATATCGCGATGCTTCGTGTGATAAGCCAGCTTCGAAGGAGAATAATTGGTAAATTGATTTTTTCTTCTTTCTTTCTCTTTTTTTTTTCGTCGAGTAAACAGAACGGGTTTAAGCTGACAAGGTCTAAGTAGTTGAAGTCGATAATTTCAGCGACGCGACAGCAGTCGACGATTAATTGTCCTGCGGTGATAAATTGACCGCGGCCAACTTGGACGGCTGGCACAGTAAATTAGGTATATATCATTTATGAAATTGACACAGTGGGGGACGATCGATATTCGCTCTCTCCTCGTGCGTGGAAAGAAATTTTCCTCGTTCGGGGATCTCGAGGGGAGCCGTTTTTCCTCCTTTAAATCGTGAAATTGCGAAATTATTATTTCGTATCGCGAAAAACTTTGGATTAAATTCAATTCGCCGTATTTTTATATTGGAAGTACAACGTTTTAATACTAATGGATTTTACAGAGAAAATCTTTTTCCCGCCACCCTGCTTTTACCGGCTCGGATTTAACTTTAATTTTTATAATCTACCAAACATTCGAGCGTGTCTCTCCTCGTACGTTCTTATTATGAAATCGCTTGTTTATTATCCTTACGAGGAGAGTACAAAATTTACGCGATCGTGTCCAATTGAAAATCGAATATCTCGATTCGATTCGAGAAAATTGATCGAGTTGCGCTATCCTCTGTCTCTAAGTAATCGGATATTTTTTCCCCCCCGATCGAAATCGGAGAACGAACTGATCTGATTTTTATCCAACCTTTTGTGCATCTTTTTTTTTCTTTCCACAGTTCAAAAAGAGGGCGGTACCCAGCTGAAGCTGCAGATAAATTATTCCAACATGCAGGCGCTGTTCAAACCCATGAGGTGAGTACAATTTACAATATCCACGTTTATTCTGATTTAAAAAGAAGGAACGATTGTATCCACGATTGATTCGAGGAAAATTAAAAATCTCGCTTTATCACGTCGAAGCAAACTTCTCCAAGTTATATATCTTCCTCCCTTGAAATAAAATTTCAAAAGGAGGAGGACAATTAAAACTTTCCCTCGTCGATACAATCCTCCCGATGAGGAACGAGATAAGTAGCGAAACGACTTGGATTATTTTTCTCACTTCTATCGAAGAAACTCGAGAGAGATTGTCAGAGAGAATCGGTCGTCCCTTATCGCTTCTCGAACGAAAATTACACGAGACGAAATGTGAGAAGGGAGGAGAGAAAGTTTGAAGGAAATGATTAAAAAATTATTTCTACGATAATCGTGATCCGCGGGAGGAGATGGAATCGGGTCGGCGGGGGGCGTTTAATTCCTCGGATGTTAGCTCCCCGGGGATTAACAATTTATTTGATCGCCAAACTTGCACGAATCTCCGCGCAAGTTATACACCTGCGTTTAATCCTTACGACTCGAATCCCTACCGACTTATATAAGTTGTTGCACCCTTCTTCTTCTTCTTCTTCTTCTCTTGTTTACGAGAATATAATATCAACCTCGTAATTTAATTTCTACCCGTGAAAAGAAATTATTCGTCTAGTTATTTTTGCGAAAATAATTTACCAACTTTCTAATCCTCTTTATTCTTTTTCTCTTTTTTCTTTGCATCGCTTCGATGACGATTTATTATTTCTGGCAAGTATAAGTCGCGGACGCAATTAAGAACGAGAGGGGAAATTAGGGGAGCGAGGGTGCAATGAAGATAGGGCGAAGAAAGTTTGGTGTTTCGAGGTCGAAACTAGCTCGAAATTACTTTGCCCGCTGTTTGTCCGTGACGTAGCTTTTCGCCGCAATCCGCCACGGAGGAGGCTTGGGATATCGCGAAATATCACGGTCGATAAGAAGGGGAGAATGCCGAGACATATTTATATATATATATATATATCGGTATATTCCGACGGGCAATTGACCTGTATAAGCGAAAAAACAAATCCTCCCCAATAAATATTGGAGGGATTGAACATTGGTGGGAAGAGGAATTTCTGGCAATAATAAGAAATTAGAAACTCGATTAACCAATTAGCTTAATCGAGGTTTCGTTTCTTCTTGGAAAACTCTTGGAACTCGAGGATGATGGACTATTCACTATTAAGAGGATATCCTCTTTAAATGATTTTTCAAGGAAGCGATTTTAAAGGAATTTTAACGGTCGTTGGCTCCATAATCTTCGTAATCTTTTTTAATAATAAGTGGTTATAAAAAAGAAAGTTGTACGTTCCATTTTACAATTCCGCCGTTGGCATTATTTTAACCAGGGGAAATGGACGTGTCCAAAAAGGTTTTTGCGACTGCCACCCTCGATGCTCGTTTCCTCTTTGCTCTTCTCGAAAGTGTTCTCGGAGACAATGGAAGGATGTGACGTATCACGTTTTCCGCGAGGGGGGGAGAGAAGGGAGGGGAGAGAGAGAAAGAGAGAAAGAAAGGGGACAGTTGGAGCGGCCCTCTCGCACGACACGAGACACTTGACTGGCCCTCCACTTATGTAATTGTGCTCGTAATCCCATCCACGTAAGTTCGTCAACCATGTGGTAAGAAAAATCGTATCTCTGTCTCTCCATCTCCTCCTCTTTGTCACCTCCCTCTTGCCTAGGAAGAATCTCTTTCCTGTTTGGGGAGCGAGATGCAAAGACGGTGCGCAGTGGTAAGAATAATGTGCGTGATGTTTATAATTGGATTGAAAATTTATTTTCAAATATATAAAAAATAATTGTTTCGATGTAATCTGTATAATTCTTACACGTTAAAATTTCAAATCATCTTTTGAGGCAAACAATTAATCGGATAACTGATCGGTCACATTTCAATAATTGAGAAATATTTTGTAAATTTATCGAGAAGCATTTAAATTTTAATTAATAATAACGGATATAACATGTCGAAACATCTATTTTAATTTAAATCGTTATTAATTAATAAGTTTCTTTTTTTTTATAAATTAAACTTGGAGTTTAATTACTTTGTATTAGAAATTTACACGATGTAATAATTTGATTTTTCATATGTTTCACATCACATTTCCACGCAACAAGAGTTGAATGTATGGAAAGTGGAAATTTTCTATTTTTTTTTTTTTTTAAATTTTTTTAAAATTAATTTTAATGTTTACGCCCGCAAGAATTCTTTAATCTAGCCACTGATATTTATGAATTAATTTTAAACTATCTTATATAATATATGCAATCTATCATTTCAATCATTTCTTATATTTTGGAGAAATAAGCAATAATAATATTCCTAACTTTGGCAATTTTTTTATTCCTTTCAATTTTTGCGGTCAATATGCGGTATGTCTTCTTGCTTTTCTTCATTTTATAATTTTTAATTTCATTATTTTTTATCATTATTTTGTTAAATCATTTTGTTATCATTAAATTTAGACTTATCTGGCCTTATATTTATCGAATAATTTATAGGATAGAATTGTTCGAGAGCATCCCGTAGCAAATATATATAAAATTTCTTTTTTTAAATAAGCATTTTTTCCTTAACATCTGTTTCTTTAGAATATCATTTCTTAAGATTCAATTTATTGTACGTTTGTCAAATTCGAAGCGCTTTCTAAATTAATTTCTTGCTACAAGTTTTTTGCTGTCACGCAGATACTTTGTGCGGTTATTTAAAGATTCAAATCACAAATATTTATATTATTTACATATTTTTTATATATTGATTATTTTATATATTATATATTTTTTTATTCTATACTAATTAATACAAGGTTAATTTTTTTTTTTACATTAGTCATATCTTTATATTACATACATTTTTAACGAAATAATAAGTTATAATAAAAATCAGTATTGTTTTCTAAAAATTAAATCTATAATCATATATAAGCGGAAAGAAATAATTTTGTCCAGTTGTATTTCTATTATTCGAACCATTGTACGGCGTGAGAATGAAATTTATTAGCCAGCTGACTGTTTGATACGAATTTCTACTTTCTTTCCTTTTCTTCTTCTTATTATCTTGGCCTCGTTTACCATTTACCAGATTCTATATCTCCTCTGCACACCTGTGAAATTCATAAATTCCAAGTGATTAAGAAGATCGTCGAAGGTATAGCTATTATTTACCAAAAAATATCCCTCCAAAGATATGACAATCGTTTCGATCAAATTTAATTCCCTCTCTCTCTTCTCGATTCTTTCTTTCTTCTTTCTTACCTTCCGTGAGTTTCAGTTTCAGGCGGCAATTCTCGCCAATTCTCCCTCGTTACACTCGTTCCAAATTCCCATCGCCGTACCGGTTGGTGGAACCGTTGAGTATAAGGGGAGAGGTGGAAGAATAAAGCAGAGAAAACGTAATATCGCGAAGCGGAGAGAGAATTCGAGACAAGTGAGCCTCGTTCGGACGCTTATTGCGACTCCTTTTTATCCTTCTCCTCCTCCTCTCTATACACACACACACACACACACATACATTTGCCCCTTTTAAACTTCCGGTCGGCCGAAGATTCCACGATAAGTGGCCGAGGACGGCTTAAACTCCGGTAATAAGTTGGGCAATAAGTTTTCAGGGAAAGTTTTCCGGCCTGGAGGACCCATCCTCCCTGACGAAGGCGATACGAAAAGCGTCGAGGGGCGTCGTGCGAACTAGGGAGGGAGAGGGGGAGATGGAGAATTCGAGGACGAAATTGCCACCGTCCCAATCCCGCCACCAATCCCGCAATAAGCTCTCGTTACACGTTAAGGAGGAGGAAGACACCTCTCTCTTTCTCTCTCTTTCTCTTTCTCATTCCTAAATCTCCACATCCTCTTCTTTCCTTCCTCTTCCTCTTCCTCTTCTTCTTCTTCTTCTTCTTCCTCCTGTCTATTTTTACCTCTCTTAAAGTAAAGGAAGAAGAGACTCGTCGAACGGACAATTTCTCACGACGAGTTCTCCTCCGCGAAATTATTTCTTCGCTTCTTCTAGGTTCTTTTTATCGCGCCCTCTCGAGCTTCAAGGGCCTTTGATTGGGCCAACGCCTGGCAACATTCGGCAACCCGAACAAGCCCCGATTCTTTTTATACGAATTTCGGTGATTTTCGGTCGTCTTCACTTGGAAAAATCGATTTGATTTTCTCAGGAATTAAACAATTGCCCGGTTCTCATTATTCTGTACGTAGTTTCGTCAACTCGGGTGTTTATTCGGTGAAACGATTTTATTAAAAATAAAATTGTCAGCTACGATTTGCGAGAAACAGAAGTTTCCCTCCCCTCCTTACTTCCTTCCTTCTTACCCAAGTTCCCGTTATTAAATTTGCCGCTCGAACTTTGCCCTCGGAATCCTCCCTGTCCTCCATTATTAAAAACATCTTTCTTTTCTAACCCCTCCCCATATTTTATTTAACAAATTTCGATAATTCCCCTCTTTGCCTCGCTTCGACGAACTTTCTCAAGTTTCATCGCGATAAAGGACGCGTGATACGAATAAGTTTGAAAACGTGATTCAGTTGGAAGCGTATATACGGGTTGCTTCCAATCGATCTCGACGATTAAATTTTAATCGTCGTGTGTGTGTTTTAAGCGAACCCGTGCGTTTTAGGGGGAAAAGTGGGGGGATGGGCGTCAGTGGAGGTCAGACGTTTCTCATCTACCTTGCCGATTTACCTCGTCGATTAATCGTGCAGCAATAATTACCATCGACCTACATCATTAGTCGTGGACTACATCATTAGCGATTAGCGATTCGATCGTTCACGGTGCCTCGAATCCGAATGGGATCGATTTTTCCTCTTCCTTCCCCCTTTCTCTTTTTTTTACAAAAATCTCGAGCATACATACGTGACTCGCGCGAGAATTATTGCTCCGCGCAATTGAAAATTGTATAGACAAGCGGGTGGAAAATTTATTCGGCGATCGAGGCTCAAGAATTCGTGAAATTCGTAAAAAAAAAGAAATAAAAATACAAGAGGAAAATAATTGGAGAACGGCGGGAGAATAATTCATTCTCTAATGGACCGTGCGCTTGAAAAATATTTTACAATCGACGTCGATATAAATTTTTGAAAAAGTAAATTTATCAACTTTTGAAATTAAACTTTATATATATATATATGTATAATAAATATAATAATATGTAAAATATTCGA